AGGTCACAGGGTGATCGTTCTCCCTTGCTCTTTTCTAGTTTTAAAGTAGATGATTGGCTTAAACATTRAAAGTCTTACTTTGCTAAAACATAWAACTAACAATATAWCTGCCCAATGGACCCTAATGCTCAAACGTAGCTTGAATGCGAAACTATAACATGAAAATCCTAAAGAAGTCAGACTAGTACTTTTTCTTTATGGAATTTGTAATATTTCGTTTGTATTTTCATTTTAGTGCTTATGCAAGATAATTTTGAAGAGGGACCGATCCATTATGTTAATAACCTTTTCTTTATATTTCTTGAAGCTCCTGTAGGTCTTCCTAACAGAGGAGAGTACATGGAATGGAGTAGCTGCACCAGAACATGTGGCGGTGGATTGCAATGGCGCATATGTGCTCTCAAACCTTCCGAACACGAGCACGTAGAGGAATGCCAGAAATGTAAAATAGGTTACGTAGAGGTCCGTTCCTGTAGCCTTCAACCATGTGAACCCAAACCTTGTAAGAGGCCAAGTCTTGGTAATGGTCGGTGGGTGTGGATTGAAGATAAAGGGGACAGCAGTGCTTTGAAAAGCGTTTTCTCCAAATAGGGCCAAAACTACRAGAAGCTTAGTTCTGCCAATACTATCAAAGTTTTCCAACTAAGTTAAAGAACTGACTAAATTATAAGATAAGCACGAAAAATGGTAATGAATACTTTAACTAGGTTAACCGGTGATGAGACGAACCTACCCCTTACAGAATATCTTGGGTGTCAGGCTAGCACGGAAATACAACAAAAAAAATTATTTTCCTTTTAGCCTCGTATACAAGGCGATTTTGAAGGGGTCTATGGTCATTTGACGTTATTGTGAAATGGACATTAAATTTCGTGATTCATACACTTAACTAGTTGAATAGTAAATATGTCAATATAATTAATTACTGCGTGACTGCACCAACCAAGGCCACCCAGACAAATTTTCATAGAAATTAGCCAATCACGACTGAGTATTTAAACAATAGAATCTGTACAAATTTTCACATTTTCCTCTTTAAAGTCATATATTTTACTTTATACGTGTGTGTGTGTATGATCAGAACTGAACAAGAAACAGTTTAAAACCCAGAATTCACTTATTCATCTGTTCTGCAGCGTTAAAAATGTGACTTGTGAATTTGATTTGATATTTATTTGGGTGGCTTTGGTTGATGCAGTCGCACTGTAAGTGTAGGGAAAATTAAAATAATGAATTATCGCTTGTGTTGGTTTTTCAGCAAAAATACTAGCACTTTTAATTGACCATTCACAATTATAAACATCACTCAAAAACTCTGAATCTTCAAACTTTATCGAAGCCCTGAAACAACCTTTGGACTGATTAAATTCAGGGCACGCCTGACTCGCACGCCGATCACAGATGGAACCCATAACAACCAAAATCAAGATACGATAGACTTTTAGCGGAAAATAATGGCTTTTTTTTTTGTTTCACAATTCTTGTCTCTGACGTGCAGCGTTTTTGTCTTTCTTTTTATCTGGATGGCAATCGAAGTTGTTGAGTTTAGGGACAAAATCATTCCAAAAGGCAACGTGATCTGCTCGTATTTTTCTTTTAATGCTTGGTTCAAGGTCGATGTCAAGATATTCCTGGCTATCAGTATTGTACTTGGGCCACGGCGTTAAATCGTTATCAAGGTTGCTTGGATTTCTATGGCAAAAAGCGAATGCATTCAAGCTTTAAAAAGGTTATGAGAAACTAGGTTAGGCGCGAAGTAACATTGATAAGCAGAAAAAAA